GCAAAAAGCGCAGAGTATGTGACAGCATGAAGGAACGCAGATGTTTTTCACGCATTAACCAAACTTTATCATCCAGGGCCAAAACTAAAAACATCACGCCTAGAAGCCCTTTGATCGTGCACGACACAAGATTATTGTAACTGGTATTCAAGCTTCGGCCACACCGCTGTGACCGCGCGTGGCTCACACACTGTGCTTAGGCTTCAGGCGATAACTATGCCATACATGGCTGCGAGACATCAAACAGACATTCACGGAAAATAAACTGACCAGGCAGTTCTTCATAACAAGGACGCACGACAGTTCTGAGGTAGGGGGAGGGGTGATGCAATTCACCTCCTGTGTGCATAAAGAGCAGATCGGTGACCGCCTGCCTGTTCTATTTCCGCTTCAGGCACACTTAACCAACGCACTGCTCAAACCAAACGGTGTGCTAGTCCCCAAAGGCGTCTGTTGCCATCAGATGAGTTTTTGACATAACCTGCAAGATGACAGTTGCAACCTCTGTCGTCTTTCATCAGATCGCTTTGTCGTGCCCCGCAAGGCGTCTCAACCCACCGGCGTGGTACATAAAAAAAATAAACATCGCCCCTCGTTCCGATCTCAATCGCTAACGCGCTCCTCTCCCTACGCCGTTACTGACAGCCGCCTGTACGGCTCCCAGGATGGCGTTGCCTATGACGTCATGGTGCGGCTGTGCGAGCGTGCCGTGACGTCACGGAAGGCGCTGACGGCCCCGTCAGCGGCTAACCAGGCCGCCCCCCCCCCCCCCCCAGACGAGCAGCACCACACTTGATAACAGGCGTCCAGCCCGATGCGCGTCGGCCAAGCCTGAACCGTGCCAAGCCGATCCGATTCCGATCCGATGAACCGCGCCAAGCTTTGGATCTCTCGGCCATCGGCTCTGCCGGTTATATTCCACCAATGAGGCCTGGGATAGCCTCGGTATTAGAGATGGTGACTCGCAGGCTGCAGAATGTGATTAATGCCCGGTCCCAATTACCCGGCGGAGGAATACGGGCCAGCGCTGGCCATTGTTATGGTCTCAGAGATTGTCTAAAGTCAAACAATATTTCGCGCTAAGGTGCTGGCTGCGTAGTCTTGAAATGGAATCGCGCCCTGTGCTGGGGAATCATGTCGATGGATCCCACCAGGACGGCAACAGAACGTTTGGCAGACCGAGTGGCTGGGAGAGATTCTGTCCCATCCATCCCAGACTTGTATTCCGAAAAAGGCACTCAAACCGCGAGAAGGTAGAGATTGGGCCTACACAAGTGCCTAGTTTGGAAGTGTTCGGAGGAAAGCACAAAACCGGGCTCCTTGATCAGTTGTTCTACGCTCTAAGCCACTGGTCTCCTCGGTCGGTGCAACCCAACTCAGGCTATCATCTCACACACTTTGTACTGCATGCCCTGCACCCTACTCTATGACCATCAGCGGCATGACTTTGCACGCACGACCTCGCACAAGAAAACGCAGCCCGGCCTTCCCAAACATGACCCCGTTCTGGTCTTCTTCTTCCTGGCTTTGACCTCACGTGACCTCGCCCTAACTCACTGTGACCCTGCGCCGACCCAGCACAACCTCAATTCAGCCCACTGCGACTTCCCCATGCCCAGCCAGGCGCCTGCAGCCCGGTCGTGACCTCACCGCCGTGACCTCTCGCCCCGCCGACGACGCTGACCCCACTGACCGCTCGTCACACCACGGCCGCACCACGCCGGCGGCACCTCGCACCCACGGCCACGCTGATTAGCGTCGGACTGGCCGGCCCGCCTTCGCGCCGCTGTACCCCTCGCGGGCGCCGTTGCCGGCGGCTATTTTGCCGCCGCCTCCGCCGCCGCCGACGGGGGGCGCCACTGCCGCTGCCCCCCGCTGAGTCAGCGGCGCGGGGATGGGGTGAAACGGGAGAGTGAGATGCGTGCAGCTGAGGGCATCTGGTGACCGCCGATGGAGGGAGGGGGGAGGGGGCCTCAGACGGGTGTCACGTGACAACGAAATCGCATGGCCCATGGCGATGTCAGGGCCTACTGGTGGCGCACAAGGAGCTAGCCGGAGGTCTACCTCAAAGGCGGCTACCACACGAGCAAGGCTGGCTTATTCCCAGTGTAGGTGCGAATCATTGCATAGCTTCGGGCTTCTCTCAGCAATTGGTTAGTTCAGCTAGCTCGCTTTGAGGAGGTGTTGCACACAGCAGCAATGCAAATGAAGCAGACGTAAGATCACAGAGCCTCTCAGCCGTCTTAAAGCAGCGCCCCGACCAGCTCCTGACCTGATCTGGTTATAAGGTCGCACAGCAGCACTCCACACCCTGGCCCGTGGCCACGTGTGGCTGACACGTGCGTGCGGCGGGACTCGCTGGCCGGAGGTGTGGGGCGCCAGTGCCGCGCCAGCGTTTCCTCGCCGCACCATAAACCGCCAGAGCTCACACGCGGCGGGTGACACGCGTCTGCGTCCAGGTCTTTGTGGTCAGGCTGGCGCCAAGCTGGGGTGGGGGGTGGGGGTGGGGGACGGAGGGCGACGCAAAAGTGGGTGCTCGGTGCAACCGTGGGCGAGATGGGGGCAGTGATCGCACCCCTCCTTAATTCGTGGACTAAGTCTTCAGTTGGGGGGCGCAACACACACACGTGCCACCTACCGTTAGCCAAAAGCCCCTTGACATCAAAGTCGTCAGCATCTTAATATGCTGCTTCCCCACTCGTCCCCCCCCCTGCTTCTCCCGCCCAACTGACGCAAGCTTTCGCCATCTTGCAATGCCCTCCCCGCATTTCGTGTGATCAAGACTGAGAAGGTTTAAATGGAGCTAACATTTCTGCTCGAACATCCCAAATATATCAACGGCGGAGACATCGTGGGAGTGGTGGCCGAGTGGCTGGCACATTTGGCTCCCTGATGATGGCGCGGGCTTGGACCCGGGTTACGCCATGGTCCATGGTCCTAATGTGACCGCTACATTCGGTGGCACATTACAAAAGGGGTGCGCGACATGCGCCCCATTCCTCTTTAGTACCAAACACCAAATCAAATCCGCCAAAAATCAAATCAAATCGGCAGAGCAGACAACGGACAGAATGTGAAGACCACGCATATGCGGGGCCTCATCATCAGGAACACATCAGGATAAACATCGCAACTGCAAGCCCCAGCTTGCAGCGGCTCCTGACACGCGGACCCCGTGGAACAGACACTAGCGAGGTCACACAGCAGCACTCCACGTCCAAGTGCAGCGCGCCGTTCCGGCTGCCCCGCAGGCTGGAGAGGACGGCTGCGGCGACCACAGCCAGCCGCGGGCCGGGCAGACCTCGGCCAGACCACGACTTCCGGCGCGGAGCCGAACCCGGCGCGGGCAGGCCAGCTGTGTTTATCAAACATGTGGGAAGGCTGGCTCAACTTCCTGTGCGCTCGGATCCCGTTGAAGGCGGCAGCTTTCGCATCGCAGAAGAAACAACCCGAAGGAAGCAAGTAAATGCACGGATGCGCGCGTAGCTGTTCCATTATACGCGGATGAGACTAGTTCATATACCCTGCCTGTCACCAGCTGAAATGTGGGCACTAAACGCACGAAACAGTTGAATGAAATGGATTCATGCAAAAAAACAGGACATGCATGCATAATGCAGCTATTGATGGACAAAAGTCGTGACCGAACCTACCGCACGTCCCCCGATTGAGTGACACCCTCCGACAAACGCGGGCTTACAGCTCCGGAGCCTCGCAGTGGGCTGCAGTGCTTTCCAAACTCCCTAAACTCCAGCACAGACGCCTACAGAGCCGGTGCTCTGAAACACGCGCCTATCCGCTGCCGGTCCCCCGGCGGAGCAGCAATTAACGCGAGCCTCGCTTCGTTACACCCCCTTACGGACCGTTCCGCCGCGGCACAAAAACGCCCGAGTATTGTGCAGTGGCGCCGGCCGTGAATCACTGTCTGCACAGCGCCGGCCGCTGTGCACAGCGCAGTCGGCAGGGCACATGTGGGTGCACACACGGCGCGGCCGTTACTCCCAGCGAGCCACAACAACCCGCGTCGTCGTAATGGCCGCTGCACGTGTGGCATCAGAGGCAGATGCCGCCATTAGCGCAGCCAGCTTTTTAGAGGGCGGTGGGGCACGACGCGGTCTCTGTCTCCTGTGGCGGAAATGCAGTGAGAAGGAAAGGTGCATGCAGCGTTCGTGAAGGATGTTTATGATTTCGGAGTTAACCGCCCCAGGCCAAAGGGTTCGAGGAGAGGCTCCACATAAAATACAGGTGACGGAAGGTAACAAGGCAGTCTGCATGCCCCTCCCTCTTTCCTCCAGACAGCTGTTTTCGTCACTTGTTAATTAGAGGGCGCGTATTCCGTCCCTCAGCAGATCCTGATATCTCACACATCGTCACCTACTCTAGCTGCGTGGCAAGCGCGTGACACCACTCCGTCGTCGGCGCGGCGCGGGACAGCAGGGGCTTGACAACGTCACCCGACTTTGCAGTGGCAGGAGGGTCCAGCGGACAGCCAGCGGACCGCGGTGGGTCGCTGGCTCATGCAGAGAGAATGGTGCGCGTCTTGCGTAAATTGTGCTCGCAAGGAACAAAGACCGGCGGCGGGGCTGTTAGGAGGAGATTTTAGATAAACGTCTAGCGACGCTTTGAGTTATGCAACCAGTTTTTAGGGGAGAGAGTGGCATGAGAAAATGGCCAAATGCCTATGGCACCAAATCGGTGTGTTCACTGACAGCTACAATGCATTACATCAATGTGTTAATAAACTAGGGAGGCACTGAAAGTCAGCTTAAGTTACACGTCACGTCGTACATCGTGCACCAATTTTGAATTAAGTCCTGTCACTCGCTGTGCATAAGCTATTATTCCTGTTACAGGTAGTGAGGACGTTTTATGAAAAAGCTGACTGTCCGGACACCAGTCGATGCGGGCCTGTGACCTGCCACGGTGCGACGCATTGATGCCTACCACAAGCTCGTCCCAAGGGTCGCCGAGTTTCGCCGTTCCTTTCGACGCCGACTCACCTTCTGGTTGAGGTCGCTGACGTCATCCTCTATGGAGATATCTGAGTACATGTCCTCGCCATCACAGTTGGAACTTCGGCCCGACGAGTTGAAGCTGGGAGTCCGGTACACGGGGCTGTGCGCAGAGACATCTAGTGAGCGGGCTGCCAACCCGTATTTGGACAGAGGACGCCACACACGGCGTTAACCGTAGCCTGCCACGCACTCCTGATAATTACAAATACTAATTTAACCGAGCAAGGTGGTGCGGAGCCAGCTCATCACATATATGACATTATACCATTAAGAACACGAAATCGCCTGGCCTCAATCTATTTCTCAATACGAGCTCTAGTAATGACTACCATGCCAGATCGCGACAAGAGGCTTGTGGTGCACGACCCACACGCACTTGCCCCTGTTACGGGTACCGGGGGCGGGGTGGGGGTTGGGGGGGGAGGGAAATGAGGCATCAAGAGTTTTCTAAAGCATTTATTTCTGTGCAACGCTCCCGACACAATGTTCCATTATGTCAAAGCTTAAGCTTTGGAGACCTCCCTGATAGCCCTTAAGACAGTCACACAGTCACCAAAACAGTCACAAAGACAGTCTCTTCCTGGTCGCGAAGCACGTGTACAGCTATCTGCACAAGGTGTCACGTGTTCGACCTGAGCTTAACACTTGGCATCGCAGTGACCCAAAGCACGCGGCTCGGACGCCGTAGTGCACAGAACGCTTCGTTCCAAAGTGTGGTCGTTGTCGGTATATCGATGGTATACCGCGGGTCCGTCTCGCCCCCCCCCCCCCCCCCCCCGGACTCGGCCGGCGTGGCTGGGCTGCGCACACCTCACCTGCTTATGCCGGAGGGCAGCGACGAACGCTTGTTTGATCTGCAACAGGGTAAGTGCCATCAGACAAAGTGTCGCCACCAGCACTTGCAGCCACGGACATCCCCATGCGAGCTATCAGTGAATTCACGTCATCCACATTAGCTGTCTGGCAAACGCTGAGCGTGGGGAAATGACGTCACAGCTTCGCAAATAAGAGACGTTCCACAGTCTATGGTCATGCCAACCAGCGGCCTACACTGGGTACGCCGGCGCCCTGTGCTGGCCCTGCGCGCAAGACAACTATCCCAGAGGCGCTGCGGGCGCCCAGCTGAGTCTCGCGCCTCTGCATGACCCCGTCCCCATCTCTGTCGCCTTCCGGCTGTCATGGCCAGGTCAGGCCTTCGACCTCCTGAGCTCCTGATCACGTCGGCCTCGCTCGTTGGTCCGCGAGCCGGCCGGAAGCGCGAGTCTCCCCCGCCACCTCACCGGTCCGCTTCACCAGGAGGGCGACCAAACCCGCAGCGCCGGGTACGAGGGACGGCGGAGAGAGGGGTGGACAGAGTGGTGAGAGGCGGAGAGAGGCGCAAGAGCGCTGGTGGGCTGCTGCCGTTCAATAATAATAAAAACACGCGCTCTGCTGACGTTAGCCCTGCTTCTGTCCGTTAGTCATGGCTCCGTATGCTCATCCGTGGCTGCTTCAACATTTCGTCCGGATTATTGTGAGGACCAGAGCCAGCAGGACCAGCCGCATGGTGGGCGCGCGGTAAGTTTAAAAATGCAGCCGACAGATCGATCTCCGCATACAGATCAGTCAATACGTCTAAACACAGGCTATCAATGCAAAATACACAGGACGGGCCAGGGGTGCTTTGACATGCACTGTCTAGATCAAGCAGCAAATATTCGTCGCCTTTGCTTGGCGCTGCATGGCTACATAAAACCCTCTTATGTGGATGTCTCGCTTACTGTGCAGAGACAGAGACATGGCTACGTAAGTCCCTCTTATGTGGATGTCTCGCTTACTGTGCAGAGACAGAGACATGGCTACGTAAGTCCCTCTTATGTGGATGTCTCGCTTACTGTGCAGAGACAGAGACATGGCTACGTAAGTCCCTCTTATGTGGATGACTCGTTTACTGTGCAGAGACAGAGACGTGGCTACGTAAGTCCCCCTTATGGGGATGACTCGCTTACTGTGCAGAGACAGAGACATGGCTACGTAAGTCCCCCTTATGTGGATGACTCGCTTACTGTGCAGAGACAGAGACATGGCTACGCAAGTCCCCCTTATGTGGATGACTCGTTTACTGTGCAGAGACAGAGACATGGCTACGTAAGTCCCTCTTATGTGGATGACTCGTTTACTGTGCAGAGACAGAGACATGGCTACGTAAGTCCCTCTTATGTGGATGTCCCGTTTACTGTGCAGAGACAGAGAGGAACAAATGATGGAATTTATGTCGATGAAGGCTAAACATGTTCTAAATAAGGCCCAACACTAAAATGTTAAGCCAGTTACTGAGGATGCGGATAAAAAGTGGACGATACAGCCATGGTAGTCACAACAAAAGGTCCGCCGCCAGCTAAATGGCTTGCATTTATCTCTCTAAAGTAAGCTCACTTGCGTTAAAGAACATCAGGTACGACCCATGGTGAATTTAAAGGCTTCCATGATGCTGCGCATTTTCCAGCAGGCACTGTAAGCCCCGGCCTGTTTCTATGACGTGGGCGTGGCCAATGATCACAGCTCTGCACCCCGCCCCCGTTAGGGAGCCCCAGACCTGCTCCTATGACGTGGGCGTAGCCAGTGAGTACAGCTCCGCACCCCGCTCCCGCCAGTGACTCCGGACCTGCTCCTGTGGCCTGGGGCGTGGCCAGTGATCACAGCTCCGCACCCCGCCCCCGTCAGTGACCCCGGACCTGCTCCTGTGGCCTGGGACGTGGCCAGTGATCACAGCTCTGCACCCCGCCCCCGTCAGTGATCCCGGACCTGCTCCTGTGGCCTGGGACGTGGCCAGTGATCACAGCTCTGCACCACGCCTTTGTCAGTGAGCCCCGGGCCTGTTTCTGTGACGTGAGTGTGGCCAGTAATCACAGCTCCCCACCCCGCCCCCGTCAGCGAGCCCCGGCCGTACGCCGTGTCACCTGTTCTCGACAAGAGGCAGGGTCCATGCCAGAACAGACACTGGGTGTGGGGTAGTTGGAGGGGAGGGAGCCGGCGGGACACGACCCGCTCCACTGGCTCGCAAACCACCGCCGAATCCCCACTCCGGACGGGCGTCCGTGAGGCGAGGCCTCGTCTCAGTTGAGGCGTGCAGGGCACACGCAGCCTGCGTCCATGCGCACGCGCACACGCTCGGTGCGGTTCAATGCACCCAGCTCGCGTGACCTCGAGTGTTGGCACAGGCGTGCTCGTGGGGCAAGAACGCGAGGCTCCGCGCCGCGTGGGCGAGGTGGCTAATGACGGGCTCGGCGCTCGGTGAAGCAGCGTCGTCACAGATCGCCGCCGCCGCCGCCGGAACAGATTGGCCCCTCGACCGCCGGGCCGCCCGAACCGCCTCCGCCGCCAGCCCCTCCACCGCCGCTTCACAGCGGTAAGGCCAGACCTCCAGGGAGGCCCGCCGCCCCTGGGCTGGCCTGACGCGAAGTGACGGATCACGTGACGTCTAAAGAGGTGGAGATAACCACTCAGGTGCCACACCCGGCCGGTGCGGAAGCGTGACGGGGAACGAGGGCGGGTCTAAGCGCACCCAACAGGACGGGGTTCGTACCCAGGACGCGGATAACACATGGTCCTAGTGCATGGGTGTAGTTTTCTACCCAGCTGGGGGGGAGGGGGGGATGGCTCCAGCCTCCCAGCCTGGGGCTGCACCCCTCCCCCCTCTGCCCCCTTTGAAAAGAAAGTGGGCAAAATTTGGGGAATCGATTACTGGGTTACTTTGGAGATGGGTCGTGGCGATTTTCTCATGCTCAGCCCCCCTCCTACCTCATTTAGCAAAACTACCCCCAGCTGTAGCGCAAGCACAAGGGCCTGGTCCCATATAGACTTTGGCACGCTCCCACCCGAAGATCCGGTGATGGCTCCGCCCCTGACAGTGATCTTCACGAGGAGTGTGGGCTGCGCTGCTGTCAGTCACCACTCAGCGCCCCCAAGCTGGACGTCGCCAGCAGCGTCCGCTGGTGAAAGCTGCATCGACGCGGCGCAGCCAAACGCACGGAAAGCCATGAGACGGCGTGGGAAATATGTCGCCCGCAGCGTCGCTGCGGACACCGCGGCGATCACGGCAGCTCCCGCGTGCTCCGGCTAATCGGCGGGCGGCTGGCCGGCGCTCCACTTGCACGCTGGCCAGGGCCGCGGGCAGGCTCTGGCCGCTTGAGCGCGGGGGACCTGGCTACTTGAGTGCTGGGAGGAGTTGGTTACTTGAGCGCGGAGGGACTTGATAACTTGAGCGCGGGGAGGACTTGACAACTTGAGTATTGTGAGGGGTTGGTTACTTGAGCGCCGAGATGATTTGGTAACTTGAGCGCGGGGAAGACTTGATTACGTGAGCATTGGGAGGGGTTGGTTACTTGAGCGCCGAGATGATTTGGTAAGTTGAGCGCGGGGAGGATTCGGCTGCTTGAGCTCGGGAAGGTTTTGGTTACTTGAGCGTGGGGAAGCTTTGATTACTTGAGTTCGGGAAGGCTCTAGTTACTTGAGCGCGGGAAAGGGGATAATTGAGCGTGGGGAGGCTTTGATGACTTGAACATCAAACACAAGAAGCGGAAGCATGACAGATGTGGCAGAGCTGTATCAGTTTTCGATAAACTGCAATTTTTTCAACACTTTGTGATTAAAGGATGTGCCTTCCGCCTATATTGCTACACCATCTTCTCTCAGCATTTTTCACCCTTAGCATGCGCTATGATGCGAACCCAAAGGCTATTACACACTTAATTTCTTGCAGTCAGCCCTTATGCGACAAAATCTTCAGCTGGTCAGAAATTCATTATCAAGGACGGCTTGTGGTAACACTTTCTTCGAGTCGAATTTTGTACAAGCATGCTTTGTCGGCATAAATATACTGTAAATATCGCGAAAAGATAACTGGGTCGGCTAGCTAGAAATAGCATTTACTCATGGTATATCGTCATTTTCTAGGGGTTTCACTTCTGCTTTCGAGCCACAAAGCAGCCTTTTTGGAAAAGTGGGCGCATGGGTCAGACGAGTGGAACAGGTGAACGAACCAGCGAGCAAATAAGTAAATAAGTGAGTGAGATTGTGAGCAGAGTGCATGCCGACAGGGAGGAAAATAGATCAACAAAACTTTACAAGGAAGGTGTCGGGGTAGACATAGGTAACGGAGTAAGGAAATATTACCCCCACTTTTCCCACCCCTAATCTCCCGTTTGCAACTCGTGGACATGCCTTGCTCCATTCACGGTACACGGCAAGCCGTCAGAGCGCTACCAGCAATACCCCACAGCTGCCAGGGTTCCATTCCTCACAGCCGAGCGCCACTAATTCGTTTACCGTCTGAGAGGGCAGAGCGATGACGCCACAGACACGAGTGACGTAACTCCGACGGGGTGACGTCACACCCGCCGGGCCAATCGCGCCTGGTAACGGGCGTGCACGCCGCTCGCCGCGAGCGCGCGCGCTCGGTTGGTCGGTCGGTCGGCGCCCGGTCCCGATGGCGAAACTGCCTTCACCATGTAACGCACAGTGGCTCGCCGCCACGGCTAACCCGGTAAAGAGCTGTCGGACTCCAGCAACAGGTCCGAGTCCACGTTCGGCAGCGACGGGCGCGATCTTGTGCGAATAGTCTTCGATCCCCATTGCATATTGTCATGCTCATCCGAGCCGTCCTGGCCATCCGGGCTAAAATCTCGCTCGATAGATTCTAACGAAACAGCGGGAGTAAAGACGCTAGTTAGCGGCCAACTGCAGAGGTTTCAGCTCTGATGCAAGTAATCGCCTCTTACCGTGCTAGGGATATTCGCCCAGCTTTTCTCCCCCCCCCCCCCCCCACACGCTCAGCCAGTTAGCAAAGGCCAGGCAAGCCGGAGGCGCAGCATGA